GTCTGTGTGTCCTGGAAGCAGCTGGAGGAGGTCTAGGGGACAGAGGCAGTGACACCCACGGAGAGATGTGGAAACTGAGGCCTGGTGAATGCTAAGTGCCGCGGTCCCAGAGCGCATCCTTGACCGAGCGGGACCCAGGTCTCCTGACTGCACCCCCACCCCTGCAAGATGAGCTGAGTGTTCGGGTTATAAATGGTTCCGGTGCTTGCAATCTGCTCGTCTCTATTCCCGGGCGCACTTTCCTCAGCTCCGGCCTTCTGCTGCACTAGATAAGACAGAGCAGGGGACAGGAGGCAGCACAGCTTATGTAACCGGCCTCCTGGAAAATGGAGCAGCGGTCAGAGTGGAGGAACATGTTCCCTCTCTCTGTCCCTGTCCTCTGCGTCTCACAGCCACCGCTTGAGGAGGAACGCGGGGCCACGGCTCAATCTCTGAGAAGGAGATGTAGCTGGGCACGAGCCACGCTGGCGTTGGTAACTTCCCGGCAGAGTGGCGCAGCCTCAGTTTCCCCAGGAGGGAAACGGGGATGAGAGAGCCAGGGAGGAGGACATGGGGTGACACAGCCCATAGCAACTGGCACCAAGTGAGCCCCAGAACTGTTTACGCCGCCTCCGGGTGGCGGCCTGGCCTGACCCCAAATGACCCTGCAGGATGGCAACGCGATCCCTGTCTGTAATGCGAATTTGTAAGAAACTGAGCCTGGGAGCTATTTCGAGGCAGGTGATAAACCAGAAGCCACCCCTTCCTCCTGGTCATCAAGACAGAGGGAGGGACTGCGGCGTCCAGACGCTGACTCAAGAGTCTCAGTTTCACTCGGGGCTCTCAGCGTGTGCTGATCTCACCTGTCAATAGCTGCTAAATTTGTCCAATCCCCACAGCACCCCAGCCCGGGACAGATCTGATTAGGCTAATTTCAGTTTCCTTAGGGAAAGAACAGAATCAGCCCATCCCTGTCCACTGCCTTCCTTCCAACCCACCCCACCTTGTTCATCTCCTTCCGATTGGACAAGGAAGACAGTGGCAAGCGAGCCCCAGGGCACCTTGGGGAGGCTTCTGATTACAGAAGTAGTGCTGCATGCATGTCCCTCCAAAGAAATGCTCCCCCGAAAGCCTAGTTAGCGACAGTGGCTTTAGGTGCATTCACCCCGTGTGCCAGGCCCTGTGCCAGGCACTTCTCACGCATCTTCGCACACGCCCACATCACACTTGATCTGTGTATGAGAGACGTGCTCAGTAGCCCCATTTTACAGGCAGGGAAACTGAGGGTCCTAGATGAGCTCCAGCCCAGATGGGCGCTCTGGAGCTGGATTCCAACTCGACTGGACAGCTGGCGATAGAGACTTGTTTCTAATCTTTGGGTTTTCCTTGTCCTGTGTTTAAATATGTATCCTTAGTTTCCGAATTTTATGCTTCTTTCAAAGATCCAACTCATGTCAGTCATGCTGAGAGACCCAAGGAGACAAAATGAGTATTTGTAAGCCACCCGCTATGTGCCAGGATCTCTTTGTATTTTCTCAGCTGCTGTTCTATAGCTGCACAAGTAGGGCTTCATTTACTCCTTATAACTGAGAACCCACTTTACAGATGAGAATGCTGAGGCCCAGAGAGGCACCTGAGTGACCATGGCCACCTGGCCGGTGATGGTACAAGACTGAAACCCACTCTTGGATTGCTGGCAGGTGGTAGGCAGGTGACAGGTGGGGACAGGAACTGGTGGGGAGTGATGGGGACAAACAGCATCCCAGGAGCCACGGCTAACAAGTTTACAGAGTCACCCTCTGTGCCAGGATGGTGCTGGGTGTATTCTGGACTTGGTTTCAGAGCGACTTGAGGAATAGCATGTGTGATTACAGTAGCTACCAGGAGCTGAGCACCTGCTGCACACCAGGCCTGGGATTGAGAGGTATAGCGCTTGCCCCTTAAGCAGCCCCAGAAAGTAGGCATCATCATGAGCTGCATGATGAGGAAACTGAGGCATGATTCAATGGAGCATCTAATCAAAGATTACAAAAGTGAGGGCCGGGGATGTAGCTCAGCGGCTCAGAGCCTGCTCGGCAAGCAGGAGGCCCTGGGTTTGATTCCAGGTACCGAAAAAGAAAAGTGAAAAAAAGAAAGAAAGATTACAGAAGTGAGAAATGGGAGTTGACCCTCCCACACCAGTTGGGTTGCTTCAAACCTATGTGAGAGCTCGGGACATTCTTGGGACCTCACAGAGGAGAAAACCAAGACCAAGAAGGGTAAAGCGACTTATCAGGGATGCTAGCACATGGCAGAACCCGCCAGGATCCATCCTTCACGCCTGGTTCCCTACCCCAGATCCTGCGCCAAGTCTGATGACCTAGACTTTACTGGTCTTTGTTGCTTTGGTCATTTGTTTTTCTTGAAGGTGAGACCTGAGCATTTTAGAGGAAAGCTTTTGCTGCGACAGCTGTTAGTTAATTGGCAGGTTCTGAAGAGTTTTGCCCTGAGGCTGACAGAAAAGAGACAGAGAAGTGGCCCCTGCCCTCAATTTTTCCACAAAGACCCTGGGCAAGGTTCTGAGGGAATAAAATTAGAATCCTGTGTCCCCTGCAATAGGCCAGGCCACATGGTCATTGTGACATCCCAGCTGCTTCGAAGCAGATCCCAGGGTGGGCAGAGGGACTGATTTAGGGGCTCTGAAAAACCCCACAAGCCCCAAATATCTCCCATAGTAAGGCTCCAAGCTTTCTGGCTTTCTACTCTTGGAAGTTCTCACCATGGTCCCTTGGTTCCCCTCACACCAGCTGCACCAGGTCCTGCCCAATGTGCCCCAGAGGGACTTTTTGCTGAGGAACCAGCCTGAGACCCACAGTTCCAGGCAGGAAAGCACAGCTCGGCAACCCAGGACAAGGAAGGGTGACTGTGGCCAAGTTTGCCAGATTAAGTGGCAGAGTGGGGGCAGGATGGAGCTCTTGTTTCCACAGAAGCTGGGCCAAGAGCAGCCCCTCCGTACTCATGGAGAGGTGTTTTCAACACCCGAGCACAGGTGTAGTTCTGTCTCACTCTTTTTTTTTTTTTTTTTTTTTTTTTTTGGTACTGGGAATCGAACTCAGGCCCTTGCACTTGCTAGGCAGGCGTTGGAAACACTGAACCAAATCCCCGGCCCACCTGCCTCACTCTTTTCATGTGATCCTGTCACCTCCCCTCTCCAGCCTCCCTTCGCCATGTACCAAATGGGGATCATCCCTCTTCCCTCCTAGGCCGGCTGAGAATTACGTGCAGTAAAGTCAGCGCTGGCAGAAGCCTAAGGACTGGGGAACCATTTGCCCTTCCTCCCATCCACCCATATGCTTGGCACCTGCTAGGGGCCGGGAGGAGAGGGCTGAGTGGAGGGAAGTCCCCGGTCACCCTAGAGCTTGCAGTCTAGTGGGAGGGGTGAGGCTGACAAAAATAAGTACATAAATAAGATCATTTCAGAGTGTGCTAAGTACCATGAAGTAAATAAAAAAGGGCTACAGTGACAGTGCCACCAGAGTGGCGATATTTGAGCTGGGACATGTGTCACTCTATACCTAGGTCAAAGTAGGTCAGAAAACTCTGGGGTAAGGAACGAAGCCCGAGAGTATGTGTGGCTTAAACCACATCTGCTGCTGTGACTATGGCCGAACTCCTTAGCTCTTGGAGCCTCAGTTTCCCCGTGTGTAAAATACAGACAGCTGTGAGAATTCAAAGATAGTTATACAAACTGCCGCCCATGTAGACATTCAATTAATGCTAGTTACTAACTTCAGAGGTGAACGGTACCAACCAGAGTTCTAGAGATAAAAGCCATCACAAAGGAGCCACAGCCCCTTCAAGGTCCTGTAAGCTCATAGGGACCCTTGGCTAAGAAAACGAGTCCTCCGGTGCCTGGCTTATGGGGGAAATCCGCTGAGACTCCCTGGAGTTTTGCTGTTTTGGGGTTCCATCCCCACCACGTGGTTACCACTCAGCCCAAGAGCCTTGGGGTTGGGGGCGTTCCCTTGTGGTCCCCCAACTTGAGTTCCTAGACCTCCTCACCCACCTTTCCTGCCCCAGAGCAGCCTACGGACAGGAGGGGCTGGTTTCTACATCCCAGGGCAAACCCCAGAAAGGCAAGGGGACCAGTACTGTCCTTTCACCTGCCGGGGCGATAGTGAGGTCATCTCTGTGACCTAGCCACTCTCAGCTGTTTTTTTGTTTTTTGACTTTTAAATTTTGAAACAATTTAAGACTTACACAAGCAACAGCGCAACAGTCGTGCTAGTCCCTTTCCCTGCCTCCCCTGATAACATTTAATGCAGCATGAGGAAAAGCACGGAGTGCGATTGGTGGGTTATGCCTATGTGTTCCACACAAGGGGCCCTGGGTACTTTCTGTGGCCTTTTTGAAGCCACTGCACACCTGGGATCGCCCTGTCTCTCCCCAGGAGTTCTTACTGTCCAACTCTCCCCCGGTGGGTGAAGGAACTAAAGCCCGAATAAGGCCCGGCTGGGCTTCGAGCCCCTGGTCTGTATCCCCTCCTCCTAACACCGTGTTTTCTAGAGGTGCCAGGGACTGCATTCCCCGGCAGAGTCAGAGCGGTGCCTGGTGGTGAACGCCTTGTCCTCTCTTGTCTCGGGGAGAGAAAAACTGCAGAGAAGCCCAGAAATATCGCCGAGCCTGAGCCTCCATTTCCTCCTCTAGAGCAGACATTCTAAGACACGGTGGGACGAGGGCTGGGTCAAATGAAACGTTGTACAGAAAGTGTCTAAAACAGCGCCCGGCGAGGGTCGTGGGTGACCGGCGCTGGGGCCATCACCGGTGCTGCCCTCGCTGATGACAGGTAAGCCCCTTTACTTTTCATTCATTCTTTCCTGCCTTCGTCCGTCCACTTAGTCCTGCACTCACTGATTCCTTCGCTCCAGGTTGGCCGTAGCAGGAGCAAGGACTGCAAGGAGGCCGGGTGCTGTGCCTGTGCCGGGCAGGGTCCCTGCACTCTCCCTCTGTGACTCACTCACCTTTGTCCTTGTCTTTTGCAGAATTCTCCAGTCTGGTGGCTGAAAGCTAAGCGGTTCTGATGGCCCCAGGCCCCACCTCTCTGCCCTGGACGCCCCGTCTCAGCCCCTCTTGTCACCCTCCTTTGTTTGGGTTCAGTTTGTTTATGTTATTTTTTACTCTCCCTGTCCCCTGCAGCCCTCAAACGACACCATTCTTCTGGAAAATGCTGGAGGAACAATAAAGGCTGTACCAATTGGGCTCTGCCTGTGAGGGGGACCCAGGCCTGGGCCGGGGTTGGCTTTTGAATACAAGTGTATGGGTGGACACCCATCATGAGTCCTTTTGTTAGAAACCCAGGTCAAAGTAACCTGAGTAAAAGAGGAAGGATAAAAAGACTTGATTGGCTTATGTGCTCAAACAGTCAGCTTCAGGAATAGCTGGATCAAGGAACTGAGGCAATATCAACCAGATTATGCCCTAATGGCAACGCTCAGCACAAGGTGTACCTGTAGTAAGATCTGCAAGACAGAGTTACTTTTACCATCTGTCCAAGAGGCTAGACTTCCTCCCATTAACAGCAGTAGCCAATGTTTATTAAGCTCTTGCTCTATGCTGAGCACTTTCCAGGATTCCATCAGCACAACAGCCCCATGCAGTACCATTGGCCTTGTGTAGATGAGGAACCTAAGGCCCAGGAATTTAAATGTTCATCCAAGGTCACACAGTTTGCAAATGCAGGAGGAACAGGACCAAAAAAGTGAGAAGTCACCTGAAGGGCCTGTGTCAGTGGGTGGGAGGAGGGATCACGGATCGTGTCCACCTGCAGAAAGGAGAAGGGAGTCTGCGGAAATGAGGCCAGGAGCCAGAGGCCGGGGTGCCCTGCAGGGCTGCCTTGGGAGAGTTCTCTGCAGAGATCCCTGGCTGGTAGGAGGTGCTGGGGTGCATCTCCCTGAGCCACACCGGGGGCTCCCCCATCCCCTTCCCCTGAGCTCAGTGAGACAGGGCTGGACAGAGCACCTTCAGGTGGCAGCCAGGCAGAGCGAGCCTCATGGTGGAGACTGGAATTATGAACTGATCAGAAGCCACAGGAAGCCCCAAAGGGCCCTGGGAACACAGCTTCCCGGGAAATGAAGGCGGAAAAGCAGGTGGTGGGGGAGTGGGTGTGGCTTTGCAGGGAAATGGGAGTGGCCTAGCAGTGGTTCCGGACTAGCCTGGCAGTGGAAATGTGCAAGAGTGCGCAGGCAGGCGTGAGACAAGAATGTGCCTACGTGCTCCACATGCCTTTCAGGACCAGCTTGGACTCATGTTTTCATGAGGGCCTGGGAGTGGGGAACAACTTCGGTCACCGAGACACCTGATGGGGTTGGGAGGAGGAAGAGAGTAGCCTGTTCTGGGGCCCTTTGGGAGCAAGAAGAGTCCTGGGCTCCTCCTCCTGGAACCAGAGAACCAGAACCATCCAGGAGCCCGGCAGGGGACAGGCCCAGGGGACTGTGGGGACAGCAGCCTCACCGACGGAATTGCACTGGCCTGCGTGCCTCCTGTCTCACCCCACACAGTGTAGGTTCTGGACAGCAAAGGCCTTTAATCTCTCGGGGGGCACAGGACCTTGGCTTCCAGCCAGCGCAAGGAGGCACTGGCTTCCCCTGCAAGGCTGGCAATCCCTTTGTCACCTGTGCCTCTGTGCGCTGGCCCAGGACAACAGCAAGAGTTGAGGGGTGTGGGGGGGAGTTCTGGTAAAGCCTCCATTTCAGTGCCTTCTCTTACAAGAGTTTGATGAGGGACATCTGAATAGATAAAGAACTTAAAAAAATTAGACTCTCCCAAAATAAAGAGCCCAATCAAAAATGTGTAAGCAAAGTGAATAGATGCTTCTCAGAAGAGGCATAAAAGGCCAATACGCACATAAAAAGATGCTCAACGTCACCAGCTGTCAGAGAAATGCAGATTAAGAAAACACTGAGATTCCATCTTACTCCCGAAAGAAGGTCATCATCAAGAAGCAAATAATAACTAATGCTGGCAAGGATGTGGGGGAAAAATGAACACTTCTCTGTTGGAGGGAATGCTAACTAGTAAAACCACAATGGAAACTAGTGTGGAAATTTCTTAAAAAACCAAAACTAGAAATTCCGTTTGACCCAGTTATTCCTCTTCTAAGTACCTTCCTAAAAGAGCCAAAGGCATCATATGACAGTGATACATACATACCCATATTTTTAGCAGCACAGTTGGTAATAGATAAATCTTGGAAATGGTCTATATGCCCATCAACAAGATGAATGGATAAAGAAAATGTGGTATTTACACACAGTGGAGTGCTACTCTGCAGTGAAGATAAACTTGAGGCGTTCATAGGTAAATGGGTAAAACTTGGGGCTGCAATATTAAGTGAAATAAGTCAGACACATAAATCTAAATATTGCATGGTTTCTGAGACAGATAGATAGATAGATAGATAGATAGATAGATAGATAGGTAGACAGACAGACATAGCAAAATAGAAGATAGATAAAGAAGTAGGGAGATCTTTTTTATTTATTTAATTTTTTGTTTTTGTTTTTTTGAGACAAGGTCTCACTATGTAGTTGTGTCTGACCTGGAACTCACTATGTAGCCCAGGCTGGTCTCGGACTCACAGTGATCCTCCTGCCTCAGCCTCCCGTGGGCTGGGATTACAGGTGTGGGCCACCACGCCCGGCGGGAGATCTTTTTTAAATGGATGGGTAACAAGAGACAGAAGAAGGGGGAGGGAATGAAAAATAATTAATGGGGGAAAATTATGAAAATAGAGATTTTGCAAATGGGAATGCAGGGGCAAATTAGAGGCACCTAAAAACCCCAGGGCAAAACATGGATGACTAACTTCCTTAAAGAAGCAGAGGAGAGATAGCCTCTGTGTCACAGCAAACACTTGCATCTGTAAAGCATCAGTGCTATCAAAATGCACATGGCCCCACAGGTAAAGCCTGCCGTGGAGCTACCAGCCTCCTTCCGCCACAGCCTCCTCCACTGTCCCTCCTCCACCGACATCACCAGAAAGGCCAGCGAAGACTGGGAGCCCACGGTGGCGGTCCAGGGACTCCCGGAGTGGGTTCCGCCGGTGCCTCTCAGTGACTGGGAGGAGCCAGGCCGCACGTACACGGTGTGGGTCACGGGATAGAAAGCGTCACACCCGCGCGTGAGCGGGGAGACGTGAAGTTCTGGCTGAAGCGGTTTACCTTCACATTGCTCCTAATTGGCAAGAAGCAGCCGGAGCAATCCCCACCCCGTCCCGCATCCTGTGGGAGTGAGATGGTCAAGTCAGCGGGGGATGTAGGGCAGATTAGAAGGACATAAAAACTCCAGGCCGAACCCCAGATGGCTGGCCTTGTAAAGTCATCACACGCTTCTCTGGCTGATGACTGTAAGACCATCGCCTGCTTATCGTGTACCCAGTGCTTGGAGAAATGTGCCCCACTGTACCTTATGAATGTGCTACTCGGGCCTCCTGTGTGCTGCCCTTGTCCCCTTCCCAGAAACGAAGGCTAAGACCTGACTGGCCCGGCCCACGTGGATCAACAAAACAGCCCGCCCTGCAGGTGTGGGCGCATCTCACGCTCACCGGGCGTCCCACCTGGGACCCCCTATCTTGCAGCTCACTCTACCGTTAAGATAGCTCTGCTTCCGCTCCTGCCTCACTTGTCACCCTTTAAATAAGCGCTTGCCTCTCCCTGTATCAGTCCTGACTCCCGCATTTCTCACCGAGAGCCTCACTTCTTCTCCATTATTTGCTGGGGTGAGGGCGAGGACCTGAAGAGAGGCTGAGGGTCATTTCGGGGGACTCCCATCCCCCCAACAGACTCCCACCCACCGGAGGCGACAGCAAGGGGACCAAGAGTTGGAGGGAGCGGGGAGGGAGGGGAAGGGTGGTGGATGAAAAACAAGAGAGTAAAACAGGGTGAAGCTGTGTTATGCACGTGTACCGGTTCCCCACGATAATTGGAATCACGTACTGCAAACGCGTGCTAATTAAAAGGGAGTTTGGTGACAGACACTGTTGCACTTGCTTTAACAAGCAAGAAAGCCAGGACTCTTGGGGTTGCCTGGTCAGGGAGGCAGAGCTGGAGTGAAATGGGTGCTTACTGCACTGGGGGACAGTGAGGGGAGCTCAGCAGTGTGGCTGGGAGATGTTGTGACACTGACGCCCCCATTCCCCACGCCCCCTCCTGGGACCTCCGACACAGCTCCTCAGGTGGCCCATCTCTTGCACCCTCTGCCAACAGGGTGCAATCCAGGGCCCAATCACGGGGGAGCCGTGACTCAGTGGATCCAAGTGGCCTGGGTGTCAAACTCCTAAACCACCTTCAGCCAGAACTTTACGTCTCCCCGCTCCCACCCGGGTGTGACGCTTTCTATCCCGTGACCCACACCGTGTACGTGCGGCCTGGCTCCTCCCAGTCTCTGAGAGGCACCGGCGGAACCCACTCCGGGAGTCCCTGGACCGCCACCGTGGGCTCCCAGTCTTTCCGCTGGCCTTCTCTTCCCTTCCCCAGCCTTTGCACAGTGTACGTGGGATCAGTGTGCTCTGCTTGGAGTGGGGCACGGTCTCTCCCGGCCCGGTCCCCACCTCGGCCCTCAGCCTGGACTATTCTGCTCGGCCTACAGGTTTTCCTGCTAGGTCCCGGGGCCTGGCATGTGAGGTTTGTATGCAGACTGCCAGAGAGGCCCTGGGTATCCAGGTCCCAGAGCACAGAGGACGACAGGGTTGGTCCCACCCTTGCCACGATGCCGTGAGGAACCTGCAGCTCAGCAGGAAGGAGGGACTCGGGCAGCGGCCCTCCCCTCCTGCATCCCCCAGCCACCACCCAGACACCCTCCTCAGCACCCTCCGCCCCCGCACTGGGGCTCTCCCTTCATGGGGAGAGAGTGCCTGCCCTTCCTGCCAGGCTAGGAGCCTCCAGGCTGGACCGCTGCTGTCTGAGCCAGGCTGGGAGCGAGGGGGGAGGAGCCCCAAACCCACCCCAGTGGCAGAGCAGGGAATGATCCCGGGGTGCACCGATGGCCCTGAGCTGGGAGGCGGCAGGGAAGTGGGGGCAGGAGGGCCAGGGTGCAGAGCAGTGGAGCAGAGTCTGTCCAGGGAGGGACAGGAGAAGCCGAGGCTGGCAGCCCCCCTTTTGGCCGCAGGCTTGGGGAATATGATGATGCTGGGCTGCAGCTTGCAGCCGGATGAAGCTGACTTGCAAATCTGCCTCTTCCTCTTTTGAGCATCTACGATGTA